TCTGTGCCAGTGAGCTACCATGGCCCTGTCCTCCCAACTCCCGCCTCACCCATCCCAGCCCCCAGACATTCACTAATCTATTTTCTGTCTCTATAAATGTATCTGTTTCATATAAGTAAATTCATCCACTATTATGTCTGGCTTCCGTAACCCAGCATAATTTTTTTCAAAGTTTGTCCCTGCTGAAGTATGTACCAGGTTTTCATTCCCGCTTATGGACAAATAATAATATTGCACTTTGTTTACGTAGCACACTTTATTTATCCATGCATCCGTTGGTGGAGTTTTGGGTTGTTTCCATGTTTTGGCTGTTATGAATAATACTGCTATGAACATTCATGTACAAGTTTTGTGTGGGCAGGTATTTTCATTTCTCTTGAAATTCCCTGATCGTGTTTGAGGAAACGCCAGTGTTTTCCAAAGTGGCTGTATGGTTTGACATTCGCACCAGCAGCGTGCAAGCATTCCCATGTCTTTTTCCTGATCTTTGGAAAAAAGTATCTACTCTTTCATCATCAAGTCTGATGTTACCTGTGGCATTTCCATAAGTGCCCTTTACAATGTTGAATTTTTAACCAACTATTTAAACAGTAGTTGAACTAAAATTCAGTTTTGCTATTAAACACAACTTTCAGAAAACTTATAAAAATATGATTTTAAGATCTATTTAATCTCACAGAAAACATTTACACGCCAGGGTCTGTTCTAAGCTCTGGAGACATGTAGACCATCTAGTGTAGAAAAAGACAAACCAGTAACGAAAGCAATCCTATCAAATGTTAGAAGGTAAAAAGTACTGTAGAGAAAAATGTTCAGCAAAGAAAACAAATCAGACTGGGAAGAGAAGCTGCATTTTTAAATGAGAAGGAGTCATTTAAACAAACACCTGAAGGAGGAGGAGTGCAGTATTTATGTGAATAAATCGTGCTCTAGTTATACACTGTTCTCCCTCAAAGAAAGCTTAGGAGCCTGGGATAATAAAGCTCAGAAAATTTTATAGCTAGAAGAAACCCCCAGAATTAATCAGCCTGCTTTTTTCCAAATGAAATAGCTTAAGCCAGAGGAAGTTAAAAAAAAAAAAAAAAACTTTGGCTGTGAGGGGGTGAGAATCTTAACTAGTATGCTACTGATTACATCTTGCAGATGTAATTTTGCTTCAAGGGCCATGTATAATTCACCAGATAATGAAATCTGCAAAATAAATTTTATGACAATGAAATTGTTTTATAAACAGAAAATGACTCTCGTATCCTAATGGCCTGAGCATCTACGAAGAGCACCCACCCTACTGCCCACGAGAGTTAGGTTTCAGAAGTTAGTGGACTGATCAACCCTACAAAAACTAACTACTGTACAGAAAGCAGCAGACAGGAAACAGCTAATGTGCCTTAGCAAACTGATCCGTCCTTAAATTTCTCAGCAAAGCACCTGAAAGACTCTTCCCATTATTATTCGGACTCTATTCATGTGAAGGAGGAAAGGAAGAAAATACAAAGTCGTAATGGTCGATGTCGTGTATCCCCGACTAATAACCACGGCGTGGTGGTCGCTGTTCGCCGACAGCCCCGGCAGTCACACTGGAAGCTTTGGCAGCATCAAAGATAGCTTAAGACTTTTCACATTTTCCCCTTGACCAAAATGAAGACTGTGGGGCACAAGCCACATAAGATATTTTTAACCTCAAAGCTGGAGATGAGCAGACAGTTGAACTGAAACTGAAAGGCACTATTATAAGAAGGAGAAGTGGCGAGTGCTCTTCTAGAGCAAGGCTCAGCCAACGTTTTATAAAGGGCCGATAACAATATTTCCCACGCTGCAGACCAGGCAGTGCCAGTTACAGCTACTCACTTTTGAGGGTGCAGAGTTAAAATAGTCATGGACACGTGCAAACAAATGGGCATGACTGTTTTCTAACATTGTATGCACAAAGACAGGGAGCAGGCTGCCTTTGCTAAGACTCCTATTCTAGAGCAATAGCTTGGGTGATAGCTCCCTGTAATGCAGACTACATTTCCCAGCCTCTCGTGCTAGGACTGTGGTCCCTTGATAAATTCTGGCCAAAGTAATGTCCCTCTTCCAACTTGCTCTCCTTCTGCCACTTGAACCCGCATGACATAGCTGGACCTCCACTTTGACCATGAGGACCGGAGTTCATGACGGAGCAGAAATTGGAAGCAATTGCGATACAGATCCTACACCAGCCCTGAGCTGTGCTCAGTCTCCGATACTCTAAAACAAAAAAACAAACAAACGAAAATCCTATAAACCTGTTTTCACACAGGAGCTCAAGAGATCATCTCTTCAACTTCTTTTTTATTTTTTTTTTCAACTTCTTTTTTAAAGATGACAAAATAAAAATGAGACTCTGCAAAGATGAGTGACTTAAATTAAATGAGTACATTGTTAATGCTAGACTAAGGCCTAGAGCCTCAAGTCTTCTGATTCTAAATCTAACGCTTTTTCTACATTTGTATGAGACTTATGCTCCCATAATCACACAGTGAAAATATAAAAGTTTGCTAATTGTGTGTGTGTGTGTGTGTGTGTGTTTCCTCAATCATTCAAGCCACTTGTTTTCTCTAGAATAGGTGCTTCATTTTATTTTAAACATGAAAGAAAAAATATTTTTATTTCTGGAAACTTCCTTTATAGTCATTTCTTCAAAATTCTATTTATTTCAGAAGAGGAAGCATTTTCTCTTGCCTTTCTGTTTTGGTTTGGTTTGGTCTGGGGGGTTTTGGTTTTTAGTTTTTGGTTTTTGGTTTTTGGCAGTGCTGAGGATTGAACTCAAGACCTCACACATGCCAGGCAAGTGCTCCACCACTGAGCTACATCCCCAGTTAAGAAAGCATTTTGAACTCATTTTCCACCTAAAGCAGCAGAAAACTCAAAATGCATCTCAAAAGGTCTTATATATTATTATCTTCCATCATGAGGAATATACCAAAAAATAAATGCTGTGATTAAAAGATTAAATGTGTTTATATCACAGCGAGCTGACTTCAACTTTATTCAAAATTAGCAGCAAAAATCTAAACTGATACGAGGGAAACTTTTATAGATTTTTCAAAGCACATTCATATCAATTATTTAATTGATCGATACAAAAGCCTGAGAATGGGCATTATCTGCTTATACAGATAAGGAAACAGACCATGGGAAAGCCAAAGGATGACACAACAACCACGATACATTTATAGAGTACTTTAAGTCTTAAAGTACTTATATTTAATCTTGTGCCACTCGGTGATTACTTCCCATCCCCATTTTATGGGTAAGCAAACTAAAATACGCCACCAAAGCTGAAAGAGCAAAAACTAGACACGTCTGATATTCTCAGGCCTGCAGTAAGAAATCTGCCACCTGAATTCCAAATGCACTGCTCCTTTTAAAACCGAAACTTACTCCAGGAAGTAAGTTAATGCTTAATTTTTTTTTTCTTTTCAATTTTTTTTTTTTTACCAATTTTACATGTTTATATCTGGCAATCAGAACAACTAATCTGAAGACAACAATATGCAATAGAACAACCACTGCCTACCACCTACCATCTTGTTTAGTGAAATTCTGTATCATTTCTCATGTTTTTTTATTATTTTTTATTCTTTTTAAAACATAAAAAAAATTTAAAAATAAAAAACTTCTACTTGTTTTTCCAATTAGTTACACTGTCTCCTAAAACAAACTCAAGTTTTCAAGACAGAAATGCTACAGTTTGTTAACATATGTGAGGAGGTATGCAAGCATTTATATATGTTTATGCATGTATATACTGTATGAACATGTGTGCTTGTGGGTGTGAGTGTGCCAATAAATTCAGAAAATACAGAGTTTAACTAGGTTTTAAATAGTCTTGATCCATAGTTTAACTACAATATGTAAGACTATTAAATATATATTGTTTATCAAATTATTGCTCTTTGAAGTTTAATCATACTTGTGTTTAATCCGCACAAGAAACAAGCAAATAAACTTACTAAAGTACCTACCGATAGCCTAAGATCAGAACCTTGATTTTCAGCTATGCTAAAGCTTTATAAAGGTGAATTTGTTTTATGTAATATTTAACTTTATTTTCTGTTCTACGTAGAAGGCAATTTTCATTTATAAGTTTCATATTGTGACTAATGAGTGTCTGAATACAGATTAAACATATTTCTAAGGTATTTCTGATATCCAATAATTCATTCACTTATTTCTTATACCACTCAAGAAAGGAAAAAGAACTTAGAGTGAAAGGAAGAGTTTGAAACTTTTAAAAATACCAACTAAGAAGATCATATCTCTTTCATTTTTCCTCCCAAATCAATAGGTGATCCTTTGTTTAAAATTTCGGTATGTGTTTTAGAAAGAGCAATATATGCCCAATTCCTAAAAGTGTACAATATGTATTTACTCGATATTTACATTTAATGTATGAGTTTCTGTGTTGGCCTCTTGCCTGCACAATCCTAAAATGAACAACTTACAAAGAGGAAATGATTGTTTTGGCTCTTGGTTTCAGAAGCTACAGTCCATGGTTTCCTGGCCCTGCTGCTTTGGGCCTGTGGCAACACAGTGTATCATGGTAGAAACACAGGCAGAGGAGGCTCATTTGCCTTATGGCAACCAGGAACTGAAAAAGAGGCAGGAAGTGGTTGAGGTCCCAATATCTCTTCAAGTTACCCAACTTCCTCCTTTAGGCCCCGCCTCCTCAAGGTTAGTTCACCTCCCAACGGTGCCGCAAACAGGGAAACAAGCAAATTTTCCACAAGTTGGCCTGTGGGGAACCTTCTAGATCCAAACTACAGCAATATCTATTCAGTTTGTTGCATTTCCAAGAGTTTAGTATTTACATTTTAAACAAATTTAAGGAAGAGCAACATAAATTATATTTTTCATTGCAACTGTGTGTGTGTGTGTGTATATGAAGAATTTTGGTACAGTGACTTGAAAATTAAACATTACCCTCAAATCTAGGGGGTTCAACAGTAACAGTTCCAAATAACTCCGAATTCTACCTTTATCCAATGGAAAAATGCCACAACAGGAAGTCGAGCTTGGCAGCAAAGTGAATGTTTTGAGGTCCGCCGTGAGATGGTTCCGGTTACAAAAGGACATTGCTTCAGCTTCTAACAAGGTCTCAGCACATGTTTCATTATCCAGATGCGAAGAGTAAGGCGTCTCCTGCCTGCAGGGTAGTAACCACACCCTCGCTGTACTTAAATGCCAAGATATTCATTCGCTCTGGACGTGACTTTTATGAGTTCACAGAAAGCACCTCTGAGGAAATGGGAAATGTGACAGCAGCTGGGAGCGAGAACAATTCGTCCCCAGCCCAGGACCTGTGAGGACATGAGTGCTCTTACCTCTTCCTTTATTTACTTATCTGTAAAATTAAGATATTGTACTCCATTGTCCACTTTCACCTTTTTTTCTCTTTCAGTAATTCTGATTCTCCTGTCCTTGTATGGTGGATGGGATATTTCATGAATATGGAGAGAAACCAGGGTCATTTCCATTAATAATGAATATTTCTGCATTCATTACACTTGGTTAAGTGATTTTGCTGTTGTTTTTGTTGTTGTTTATTTTTTAAGACAGGGTCTTGCTGTGTAGCCCAGGCTGGCCTCAAACTCACTGCAGTCCTTCTGCCTCAGCCTTCCAAGCGCTGAAATTACAGTGTGCACCACCACACTCAGCTTTGGTACGTAATTTACAAAATTTCAGTAATGCTCCAAAATAATTATGATAATTCCATTTCATAGCTAGGGAAAGAAACCAGAGAAACTAAACCATCTCAAGATTAGACAGATAATAAATGACAGAGGCAGATCTTGAACCCAGAACTTCTGACTCCAAAATCCATAACCTTTCTCTTACAGCATGTTGGCTCACAACAAAGCAGTTAGAGACCAGCTCACTGTAACAGGGCCAAGGCCTGCTAAAATGGGACCATGCCCAGTAAGAAATTCTTTTGTTCTCAAACGTAGAAATGTAACCATCAAGCTAGTTCACTCCATATAGTACTACACAAAAAAGGGAAAGTTATGGCAGTCTAACCTCAGTTCTATCTTATGTATCAAGGGAGAAGAAGAACCTATGTCTGCATATCTATCTATGATTTAAACTGTCAGAAAACAGATTGCATATATCCAAGGTAAAGTGCTGACACATTGATTAACCGAATGCCTACAAAAGGAGGTTGCTCACAAACATCAGAAGATTATGAGGTCTTGGGGATAGGCATAGTAGGATATGTTAGTTGACCTATGGCAAAAGGCCATCTAGGTTAGTCGCTCACTGTAGAGATGCACATACTTTCACTCATTCCTTCCTCAAGTCTGTGAGGTGTGTCTTGGATACCATCTAACCAGGACCATGGTGCAGAAACGCTCCTACTCCTGCTCCAGATGCTTCCGTCTTTCCCCTGGGTTTTGCATCCTCTTGAAAAGCTCCCTAATCTTTCATGGCCCAAATTTAATTCACAAGTGAATCCTTCTCTGTGAACAAAACATAGTGCTTTTGGTGAAAATGCTCTGAAGGGGCCTCTGGATTGAAACAGAATCATTCAAAATTTCTCCCCCCACCCAAGAGTTATGAACAGAAGCCTTGTTTGGGGTGGGAAAATAGCATAAAATATCAGAAATACAAAGATTTAACCCCAGCTTCATGCTGATTCAGTTGAAATCAGTTTCAGGGGTCGCACGTCACACTCCTGAAGCAACTGAATTCTTATCATTTATATTCTATCTCTGAACCTCTTTCAGCTCAGATGAGATACACTGTCAGCGTCTCACTTTTGTATCAAGCATCTTTCCTTCTCTTTCATTTGGAAAATAGAACATCCTGTTAGCCACCCATTTTTCTCCCTGCTCTTAAAATCCATCCTCTCCAGATAACCTCTCCTATGGATGATTCCCATATAGTACTAGCCATGTCCGAAGTCCTGGCTTATTTGTCTGCCCTAGATTCCTCTTCCTGAGAATATCTCTGAAGTGGGTATGACGGTTACTACTAATAGCTTACCCTCAGGCACTGTGCTAAGCCCACCATAGACATTCTCTCGCTTAGTCCTCGGAAGGTGTGATACGCATAGACGTTTAGGATGTGTGCAGGGTCACAGGCAGCCTGCTAGGGTCACCAGATTGTGTGAGAGTCCTTGAGGGTGAGATCCATCAGTGTTCTCGTATTGCCATAGCAGCAGCTTCATAAATATTCATACATGGGTGGGTGGATGGATGATGGATGAGAGGCACAGCGAAACTTTCAACATGATCTATCTGCCTCCAAGACGGATCCTCTTATTTACTGTGCTGTGTATCTTACTTAATCCACAAAAAGTTAGAGAATTAACACAATAAAACTCTTAAAACACAAGGAGCTTTTCTGAGGAGCAGTTCCATCTATATAACATGGACTTATTTTATGGGTTGGTAGGTGTGCATCTTATACAGGTGTGTGGCTCTGCATGCATCATTTTTGTCAACACTGTGATGGAGGGAGAAGGGCCTCCACTGCAGTACTGTAGGACTGCGAAGGATGCAAAGGAAGGTCCTCTCTAACACTGTGCCTAGGGCTGGGGATTTAGCTCAGCGGCAAAAGCGCCTGCCTGGCAAGCGCAAGGTCATAAGTTCGGTTCCCGGTACCGGAGAAAAACTAAAAAACTAAAAAACTAAAAACACTGTTCCTAGCTCACCATGGAATCCTAATAAAGCTCACCTGTTTTGCCAGCCTGGCATGGGCTCATTTTAAAGGAAAGAGCTCAGCGGCACAGGGCCTGCCTGGCAAGCGCAAGGTCGTGAGTTCGATTCCTAGTACAAGAAAAAAACAAAAACAAACAAACAAAAATCATTTCCATTCCTAAAAGCTACATAGATTTTAAAAAGTGTTTTCACAAAAATTCTTTGATTTTTATAACACTCTGAGACTAAATGCTTACCCTGGGACAGAGTGGGTGGACGACAAGAGCTGAGTATTAGATAATGTATAACAATGGCCCCAAAAAGCATCTCTGCTGGTGATGTGGTTTGGATAAGGTTAGAGTGCGTCCCCAAGGCTCTGTATGTCAGAGGCCTGGTCAGCAGGGGGACAGTACTACCAGCTGTGGAACTCCTAAAAGATAGGGCCCAGTGAGAGGTCCCTAAGGGCAAGACCTCAAAAGGGATTAAGCATTTCTCACTGGACACTGAGTGAGTTCTTGCAAGAGAGTTTTTATAAAAGCAGCAAGCCCAGCCCCACCCAACTTTCTCTGCTTCCCAATTCAAGATATGACTCCTCCTCGGCAAACACTCCAGCCTCTGCCATCTGCCAGGGAGCCAGAACCCGTACCATGCTGTGTGGACTTTAGGCCTCCAAAACTGTGATCTAGATCAACCTCTTTCCTATCATGTAAGCCTTGATGGTAATAACAAGCTGACAAACATGCAGGGTGCAGCCCAGTTGAGTGCTGGTCAATTAAACTAGTTGAAAAGAAATGTTAGAGCACTGTTTATTCAGTATGAAGTTACTTACATATAAAATAATAGAAAAAACCAAATGACCGTCTATAAGGGACTGAACTGGCCCACAAGGCTGTGCACACCTGTAATCCCAGCATTCGGGAGGCTGAGGCAGGAGGATTGCCACCAGTTCAAGGCCAGACTGGGCTACAAAGTAAGTTCAAGGCCAGTCTGAACTGCATAGTGAAACCCTGTCTAAAAAGAAAAAAAAAGCGGGGGTAGGCTATGATTCTTCCATATAATTGAGTACTACGAGGCTAAAAAAATGAGCAAAATCTCATTATTACTATGGCGCAGAGCATAGCGTCTCAACCTTTGGATAAGAAAGAGGAAAATACTAATACAAATACTGACATATCACACATACAGTGTACATATTTCTGTCTGTGTTCAAAATGAAACATAAGAAGCATAAACTAATCAAAACGGCTTCTTATGCGGAAAGGAGGGAACTGGAAGAAATCAGGAGGGAATCCGGCACTTGGCTTCAGGGCTTTGATTTTCAAATCATATAAATGCTTTATGTAATTTACAATACAAGTCCAACCTAAAAATATAAAAATACATCACTATGCCCCCGAAGAACTGAAAACAAACTACGACACACTTCATAGCATAGCAGACACAGCCGTACAGAGAAGAATTAATTCAATGACCCTGGGACATAGCATTTTGTGTATCCAGCCACAGATAGCCTCCAGGGTAAAAAGAACTATTAAGAAATTTAAAATTGCATTTAGTATTTATTGTTAGTTAATAATACGCACAGTGGTTTGAAACCATTACACACACCCTGGGATAAAATAATTGTGTTAAACTCATTAGCAGAAGCCTTTTGGTGTCAGAAGGAAGAGGTTATAATACATCAAAGAAGCAGGGTAATAGCCCATCATATTACATTTGAAGTGCAAATATCAGTTAAAAATGATTTATTGGGTTTTTTAAATTACAAAGGACCAGAAACAACGACAGCCTGTAATAAAGAGCATTCCCAGCGTCTAGATGATAGTCTCCAAAACGGCATTTTCCTCTCAAAGGAACCAGGATCCCTTAAAGACGTGTGACTGATCCCAGGTCTCAGGCAGGAGAAGGGAAGGCAAGTGAGGCACCAACTGTCATGCCAGCAACCATGAGGGCACAGGGGCACCTCGAAGGGGTACCCACTGGCCAAAGACGGGACAAGTGGAGCGCCGAAGAGAATAACGGCTGCAGTTGATGAAAGTATATCAGACGTATAAAAAGCCACGGGTTTTATGATAACATTTTTAAATATTCCAGTCACTATACAAATGTGTTAGAATATAAATTCATACTCTGAAAATTGGCAAGTGAAAAGACTCCCAAAAGAAATACTGTTCACTTGAAAAAACTAGCCAAGTAGGACACTAGGCATTTGGTGAACTGACTTACAACAATTCAAAGAGACAGAGAGGGGGCTGGGGATTTAGCTCAGCGGCAAAGCGCCTGCCTGGCAAG